TCAATAGAATACAAAAATGGGCCACTCTGTATAGTTATATCCATGATGAAGCAACAATTAGAACATCCTTGAAAATTTGATCTGGTCTGTAAATGCAGGTAGAATATTCTCACCACACGGATTATTTGCATTGCATACATATGGCACCGCATCCACGTTTCGAGTATAGTATTGAATTCGTGCCTGTATATTATCTGATGATGATGCATATCAACACAAATTGTAACAAAGTAAAGTCACCGTCCACCCATATTCTAATGTGAAGTAGTCTGAGGTCTTGTTTCTATATACTTTTACCTATATTATTATAATGAAGGTATCATAAAAATCTAACGAGTAAGTCACATTGGTGGTTACTTCACATATCAATTTTAGTTAATTGTTTAGGTTGCAGAAAAAATAGCATGTTTCAATCGGATCAAAAGTGACTTTGTTTGACTCGCAAAATGTTTCTTTCGCTCGGTTCGCTAAACGCTCCGCCGCGCAAATGCAAAATTCTCTTGTCAAACAAAGTGTCACTTCTGCTCCTCATATAAATTGTAAAGAGATAACGGTTATAGAGATCAGCAAGTTCTCCTTTTATTTTTTTGGTATTCTCAATTAACTTCAGTATAAGGTTTCATGCTCGAAGTGTCGCAACTAATCATGAAAATTATCTCGGAAAACTAGAATATATTCTCAGCTAACGTCTAGAACTATCAAGCTCAGTGCTCACTCATCCATCAATCAGGAATAGATGTCTTTAACTTGGTCTGTGAATATCAGCTATGGGTTTTCGACTGACTTGAATGTCGTTTGGGCTCTTGAGTAGTTATTTATTGTGGAAGTGTGTTATGGTGGACAAGCCATATCTTCTAGAATATTCGGTGTATCAAAATGAAATCAATATGGGTAATATGTGAAGAGCGAACATTTCGCATATATTTCACATCCCAGTCACTTCCGGTCTCACTGGAAATGGCTCCGGTTTTGAATTTTCAAATGTACCACCCTGCATATTATAACATTTTTGAATTCCTGAGGCAATCATGGATCTGAATATGTCATTTTCAGAAGTTTTTACGCCTACTCCATATTTTTGAATACACTTTTAATATTGCATCTAGGTGGCCATGAACGAACGTGAACTTATCTAAGGACCTCAAGTTTCAGAAAATTAGGATTACAAAGTTTTAGTGACTATATATGTGATATATGTAGGAAGAAAACAAGTTGACATAATCTCCGTGTCTAACTATTATTTTTCAAATGGCAACCATTTTTGACAAGCAACTTTGGAGAAGAGGATTTTTTGACGAATCTAACGATACTAATTTATAAGCGATTGGATTGAAAATAAGAACATGAATTTAATATTACTAAGGAAAATACTGAATATCAATTTATTTATATTTGTCAAGTGTGCCATGGATAGCCATGATGCATAATATTTTGCAGCTTTTTTTTTAGAGTCTTCTTTGGAAAACAAAACACTCAGGTAAAGACATAGTGATATAAGCTTTATTAGTAGACAAAATTTTATTTTCGTTAAATCTCAGTTTAATTTTCTGTCAAAATAATGTATAATCAAAGTGAAAAGTAGATACCTGAGTGTTTTTTTTTTCAAAGAAGACTCGAAAAAAATAGCTGCAAAATATTATGAATCATGGCTATCCATGACACACTTGACAAATGTGAATAAATAACCAGTATTTTCCTAAATAATATTGAATAAATGTTCTTATTCTCAGTCCAATCGCAAATAAATGAATATCGTTAGATTCGTCAAAACAAACCTCTTTCGGAAAAGTGCTTGTCAAAAAAGGGTTGCCAATCGAAAAATAATAATTACACACGAAAATGTGATTTGGTCAATTTGTCTACTTTCTTTCTATCATACTAGTCACTAATACTTTGAGATTATAATTTTCTGAAATCACCTGATCGAGGTCCTAGATGCAATATTGAAGGTGACTAAAGAAATGAAATAGGCGTGTGAACTTATGAAAATGTCATATTTTGATCCAGAATTGTCTCAGAAATTCAAAAATGTTATAATATACAGGATATTCCATTCAAAAATTCAAAACCGGTGCCATTTGCGGTGAAACCGGAAGTGATCGGGAAGTGAAAAATATGCGAAAAAATTCCTCTCCAAATACCATATAACCATATCAAATTCCATTTTGATTCACCTAATATTTTAAAAGTTATGGCTTGTCTAATAGATTCGTTGATATGTATTTATGTATAAATAATGAAGTCAATGAAGTCAAGCGTGACATTCTGCTCGTGAACCAATTTCTGGAAGTGACTTATAAAATTCTCAATAATAAATAATCTTAATAATTAAAACCTTATCTGTATATGTAAGTATTCAACAAAAAGATTATTGATTCTGCTTGGCTCTTGTTATCTGAAAATTGAAATGACTCCTGGACTTTTTCCACATAATTGAGTTTTTAACCATTCCTAGCTGCCTTCCACTGTGTCAGAACCAACCAGAGTGGAAGGTTGAAGTATGACCTCTTAGTTTGGTCTTCACAGCAAGCACTAGCTCTCTCCTTCACCACAGATTAATAAACCTTACATCTGTGCCTTTACTTACTAAATTGATGTGGGTGTCCAAAATACAGAAAATACTAATCCTATATTTCTCTGAAGGCGTTCTTACGGACTTTATTCCTACTCTAGTTCAATAAAATGTAGGTATATATGTATAAGTCGGTCAATTAGTGATTTGACTATTTTTTTATTTGTTACGAGGGCCCCTTTTTGGTATCTATATAGGCAGGGTTGAGATAAAATATGAAACTTAGTGAATATATTCGAAACAAAAATGGCAAAATTCATGAAACTGCGCAGTTGAGTACAATGACACCTAAATGACACAAGATGCATTCGATGTAATTCTTTTTGTACATAATATACTTCCGGTTCAACTGGAAATACCCTTAACTTTTTTAATTTACATGTATTTTTTCGAAATTTTGATGAATCCTTATATTTTTAATCCGTACATACTGGGTTTACTGGGAATAATACAGGGTGATTCACAGTGGATGGCGACGATCGCGTATTAGAAGTATTTGGAGAACGGAAAGACAAATCATTCTGAAAATTGCTGTGAGTATCATTAATCTAGCAGTTCATATTCTCCCGAAATATTTCTATAATTACAGTGTTGCCGCTTTATCAGAAAAAGTAGCAACTTGGATATTTCAAATTGAACACTGTGGATTATTTAATTTTCTGGATCTACCATTGATTATATTATCAAGTTTGTACGATATTTCCCTATACCTATACATCTTATATAATATAATCAGACAATAGCTAAATGTATAGTTTAGATAAATAAGAAAGTTCCATTGTCATTAACGAATAAATGATTTATTCGAATTGTTTTCACACTATAGGCATCTGGAAATGTTCCAACGAAATGCTCGTAAATTCCTCATGAAATTATGATAAGAAGCGCTCATGAATCAGGGTTCTGAATTCCTCAAAGCATTACATGAAAATAGAAATATTTCAAGGATAAAATAGTAGGTACTGTTAGAACCATAAGTATGAAACAGATTATTCGAAACTATTCTATTCTCATAACAAGGAATCGCGAAAAAGGCCTCAATAAATTTGAATTATCTGAACCACATATCAAAAAAATTAAAAAATATATACATATCTACCAATAGTAGTTATACTTTAAGTATACTAGAACTAAAATAATTCGACACTTTCAATAATTATTATTGCTTTGATATTTGAAAACTTCAGACGCCATCTCGAGGGATTAGATTGCAACTAGAGAAGAACCGTTCGCCTAGTGGGCGATGCCACACTCACCAATTCTTTGACATCTTGGAAAACCGTAGAAAAATTGGTGACCATTATAGGGATTCCCTTTCGTGTGCTCCAGAAAATCAAGGAAAAAATCCCAATATACATGGTGTCCAATAAGTCATGGATCAAGATGAGTATGGTTGTAGGGGAGAAGGGGGTTATTTCCAATCAAACTAACCGTATATATTAAGTGGTTATCCTATAGGTCAGCTATCGTAGAGAGAGGAAAATAATTTCTCTCCCCATCTGTCCTTGTCTCCGGTGTTCCAACGTAGAATAATGCAAATTTAATTTGGAAAATGGGAAAAATGGAGAAGAACATTATATTAACCTCAATATAAAAAAGGTTAGAATGGTCTTTTTCTCCATTTCTTCTCATTTCCAGTGTTGCCAATATAAAATTTTCAATATTTTATGTTGGAACACTGGAGAAAATTGGAAAGACATTTTTTTCTGTCTCAAATCTAGCTGAACTGCTATTTATTTTTGATGATTCAAAAGATATCCAATTTTTCTCATTCCTCCTTAGAATCATATGTCGTTTGTTTACTGAAAAAATGTGATTATTGGTACATAGTCTGCATCTGCCAATAAAATGTATCTAAATTATTCCAAAGACTCCTTGATTGTTTTGTTTTCAATTGCCCTAGTTTCTGTGGCTATTGATTGACGCAGCTCTTCCTCTGTTTGGTTCTCCCATGCATAGGTTAATTCCTTGAAATACCCCCATATAAAAAAACCGTTGGGGTGGAGATCGGAGAAATGAAAAAATGGAATAACTTTTGAACCATCAACAATTGTATAACCACATGTACGGTTACCACCCCACTTATGGGACACCCTGTATAACAACTACTGTTGTTCTTCTAGGTAGGTCCCATAGTTGGAATGAATGAAAATCTGGTGAATTTCTCCCATCAAATCCAAAATTAAGGTCGAATTTGTATAGTCCGAACAAATAAAATGAATCCCAGTTTACATTGATGTATGTATAAATACCTACCATTCTTGAACACCAATGCAGTACTTCCATTCAGGTAATAGTAACGATTAAACTCGCGCTTGAAGCGTACCGGAAGCAGTACCGACAAAAGTGATTTTTCGAATTAAATTCGGGTAGTGGACGCGTACATCTCGAATACAGTGTGTGATTAATATTGAAGATGGACCGAGATATGGACGGTGAAAAGAATGACGATTTGGAGATGAAGAAAATTCAATCTGAGGATATTTCGAAAAAGGAAGGTGAAGATGAAAAAAGTCATGGTAAGTTATACGTCTATACTTTGTTTCTATGGGCTTATGGGCATATTTTTTGAACAATTTCAAGTGGAAAGTGCCAGTAATGAGCAATATTAAATTTCACAGAGTGAGTTGAATGAAGTGAAGAGAATTTGGAATGAAGTATTCAAGTATTGTATAATACGTTATCGATTGAGAATGTTTTATCACTTACACAATTTCAATTACGAATTCAAGTTTTTGTTCAAATTGTCCCCTCGCTGCTTCACAGCACATTCTTGCTCTTCCAGTAATCGAAGTAGTAATATTTTGAATTAGCTCATTTCTGGTTTGTAGTTCATTTGAATACACTAAAGACAATACACATTTTATGTCATGATATCGAAAGAGTTGATAAATTAATACGTAGACATAAATTTAAGTTATCATCTCAGGAATTCTACGACTCTTCAAGCGGATCAAAACAATTCGAGAAAAATACCAATCCCTTTCAATCCCAAGTACACAAGAGTACTTGGGATTGGGATTGAAAGACTCAGGTTTTGAAAACGTTTATCAGTCTGAGTCAAAGTTAGGCAATTTATTAGGTAACCCAAAAGAGGTGGACACACTTGGAAAGTCAGGAATATGTGAAATTATTTGTAATGATTGTGATAAAACATATATAGGCCAAACCAGGCGTCCCATAAAAACAAGATTCAAAGAACCCTTAGCACATTTGAAATATGGTAGGTTAGATAAATCGTGTGTAGCCGAATACATATTCGATCACAATCATAACACACATATTAATAACCTCAAATTAGTTAAGCAAGTTAATAATGTTAGAAAATTAGATGCATATGAAAGCTTAAAAATATTTAAGAATAGTAATAGAGTAATGAATAAGGTTAATGGACCTATCCCATTTAGCACTCTGTATAGTTTAGTAATATCACATGTCAACTCAAGCATGAATGACATTAACATGGCGGTTAGGTGGCCATATACTTTTAGTATATAAGTAGCCTACTAGGATAGAGCATTTAGTTTTGATCTTTTCCTGAAGATGCTGACATAGCTAGCGAAACACGTGTCGATGTGTAAAAAATCGATTTGTTTGGTGGTAAAAGAGTATGTAGTGTTTTATCGTGCCAAAGGTTCCAGTCATCTATATATATAATTATTAACGCCAGAAAAAATATAATAGAAAATTTCACACCAATCATTTTCGAACAATTTGAAACCTGTATTTTGTATCGTTACCATAGCAACTAAACAAATCTCTTGGAAATGTTTTCCTCCTCCTTGGGGACGAAGCATGAAATTATACTAGAAGTTTTTGACGTTTATAGGTTGAATGACATTTACATTCAACTTCAGATTATTTCGAGTTCATTCTATGAGTCAATAAATAAAAATCATTTTTCTTCCGATTGGCAGCAAATATTAATTTTGCTGACACATATCAATCAGCAAAGTATTACTTTTCCTGCCTAGGCAGCAAAGTGGTTACTTTGCTGATTGATTTGTATCAGCAAAATTAAAAATCCATAAATCGTTTATAATTTCCTTCATATTTCATCCTAGACTTCTCCGGCAACAAATTCAACTCTATATTTTTTGCCACCTCCCTTATTAATGGAGGTGTAAGTATACTTCCAGGTCGCTATCACTGTCCATTATATAATAATTTGAATATACCAATATTGTTTCGCACAACTGTCAGAAATTTCATGAATTGTCAAACCAACAACTGCGATTTCTATCAAATTTTATTTTAATTGAACACTATACAGGAAGAATAAAGAGATTGTGGGAATTGTATTAATTCGCAAACACAATATTCTCCCATATCATTATGAACAATCGGAGAAAAAATCATATGTTCAACTCGGCAGCACAGTAGATTGACTGCCTTTGCTGGATTCCTAGCCTCGCTACGCTCGGCTATAAATTCAGCCACGGCAGTCAATCTACTACTTTGCTGCCTAGTTGAACGAATAACTATTTCAACAGTTTACTACCATATGATATTATGTAGATATACTTCCAATATAATATTTCAGTGTGAAATTTTCTTACCGAATACCACTTAAGATTCAACTAATATCCGGGAATTTTTTCTCAAACACGAATATTTAGTAAATTCGTGTTCTCGAGAAAATTTCCAGAAATAACTCAAAAACGAAAAGTCATATCAAAGATTCTTGAAAATCATTATGTGGCTCCTTCACTATCGAAACTTAACTTAACCAAATCTGTATCCCTCGTGGACCTCGTGGTTTCCGATATGCACAGTGTATTGTATAGGTACACACAGTAAATAAGTAAATGATATAAAAGCTACACATTTCTGAAAAACCTTGTATATTATGGGTTTTATTAATGTGGATTTCCGTCGTACTTCCTCTCTCTTCACATTCTAAGCCCTCTCGTGCAACAGAATTTCAGTTACGTAATTACAAATATACCGTCATTCAGAAGGCCGAATATGGATCAATTTATGGAACCTTATCGTTTATTTATGCTAAAGTTAGGATCAAAACTTCAATGGAATGGCTACACTGAATCCAAATGGCAAATTAAGCGAACAAAATAAATAATAGATTTCACGGTTTCGACTTATGCATAATCGATTCATTACGCAGATAGCACAATGTCATTCATAGAACGTTCATAGGATATTCTTCACGAATATTCGAATATGATACGAATATTCTAGGGATGTTTTATGAACATTCGGAATAGACTGTTTCGAATATTCTGAGAATATCCCTAGTATATTGTAGGAGAAGGAAGGAAATTGAAAAATTCTTGCTCTGGTGGAGATGCGAATCTACTATCTTGTGATTGAATTTTTACGAACACTTCAGTATCATTTATTTTGATACGATTCTGAATATTCTCAGAACATTCGAAACGAATATTCTGAGAATATGTCAAATACTTTGACTTCATTAGAATACCGTGAAACAGTTATTTTTTGCGCACCAATTTCGAACGACATTTTTTCTATTAACGTCAAATAATATTATGTTCAGCTTGATATAAAAAATAGTGTTGAACTGGTTTAAAAAGCCTTAATTATTGTTGAACATTCATAGAAATAATTGATTTCTTGGATTTTTGGTTGATCCCTCCTCAATAAATTTTTAATTTTTAATTTTTATGCAAGCCCCTTTCTTCAATTCGTGAATAAATAATGTATGCCACATATTGAATATTTTTGATATTATTGTTGATTTCACGAAAATCAAGTATACGATACGAAGTTAAAACAATTAAATAATTCTGAAGAGAATAAGGTATAAGCAGCATAATTAACTAGCAAACCAATAGAAATATCACAATTTTTCAGAGAGCTGAAAATTAGGTAGATATTGAATGATGGAATAGAAAACATCATTGAGATCTGTTCAGTGGCGACTCATAAAAAGTTATATCTTTTCGGTTTTACCTACTCCAAATATGTATGGAATGTTTTTTGTACATAATGGTTCTCTTAGTGTGCCTACAATATTGCCAATATTGGTGTTAAGTTGGTTATGAGGTCAGTTTTGTGATTCACCATTGAAAAATGCCAATATTGTGCCAATGATGGTTCACTGGAGTAAAATTTCTTGAAAAGGGGGTTCACTGCAAAAATCCCTTATTATCAATACTTATCAATGGTACCAATATAGTTCCAAGTGTTTTGTCCCAAAAAATATTTTGCTGAATAATAGACGGTATCCCTGATCTTGAATAATCAGTTCAAGGGGGTTCAAGTACTTCAAGTGAGGCATCCTGAACTAGCAAGGTTATCAATAATATATCTGGAGTTAATGATGTATTGACAATATTTGTCGACTATCCGATTCAATTAATTATTTATTGACATAAATCTCACAAATGCCTCAAGACAAATCCTAAAGTCATTAAGTATATTTAGTATCTACCTATATCTTTAATGCAGCAGTACTACTTGTTCTAGTCGATCGACTCTGAAAATAGAATATAAAGTTCGTCATGCTAGTGATATGAAATTGATTATGTCTTCGAGAGTTCAGTTCCTGACATCCGCAAAGTTTGCTAGTGACTTACCAACACAATTCAATTCGATTGAAATTAATTCCAATGGATTATTGGATGAAAGTGTTCAACTTCTGTTTCCATCAAGAAGGAACACTGGTAGGTAATCAATATATAGCTAATTTGATTGAACTGCCCATGTCAATTCTATCACCATCAAAGAGGAATTATACTGGTAAGTATAATTATGTGATCACATGATGATGGAAACATACGATATACCAATTACGAAATGATTTATGTAAAATATCCTATACTCAAGCTCAACAAGAAATTTTCTATATTTCTGATGATTCTTTTAGAAATCGAGAGTCAGATATATATATATTTTTCACACAATATAGGTATTTCTGAACCGTTTAGCCTCATAAACTGTATAAAAATTTTACATCGAGTAACATATAGTATTAGCAAATTTGCGGTTTTCAATATGGTGAAGTAAACAGACCGGAGAAAAATTAACATTCTTTGCATAGTATGGCACTATGGCATGGTCATATTGATTGATATGTTTGCCGTATTTTAAGCATAACTATTGAGTTTACATACCGGGTGGTTCAATTAAAAAAACAACGAAACACGTCGGTTTTTTATTTGGAGGGGGAAACCGTTTGACGTGTGACACAAAAAAGATAATTTATATACTTCACCCCTCTACTGTCCAGAGCAACCCCCTCCATAGTTTGAATAGGGAATGAGGGTCATGTTATATATCATCGCATCATTCTGACACTAGCAGAACAAAGGTTTTTGAATCCCAATACACGTTTTCGAGATATTCGAGTTCAAATGGTACGTCTTCTAATGTCGAGTAAATTAATGTACGGAATGAAGTTATCCACAGCAAATGTGCAAAATATCCTTCATTGATTACCATAGACAGTGGTAGAGTCTACTTGCAAATTTCATTTGGAAAAATTTTCACTAGTTATACTGCCTCGCATTCAATCGTTATTCTTCTTTCAAAATCGTCCAGCTTAGTAGATTCCATTTTATAAATAACAGATTCCAAATGACCCCAAGGAAAAAGAAAATCATTAGGTGTCATATCCGGCAAGCGATCTATCTAGTTGCGCAATTTTGGGGTAAAAATTATCTCACCTGTAATACAGAATAAGGAGCAATTGATGAAATAAACCCCTGGTATACGCACTTCCATCGAAATCCTTTCCTGTTTTACAATCCCTTATCTCACTAACTTTAGACTGGTGCCGTACCAAAATTATAGGCATCAATATGACATTTCCCTAACAACACAGGGATGTCCTATAGGTACGTCCCTTTTTTATCCCGCGGTACATCCCTAGGTTATCCTATTCGTGTCCCTGGAGTATCTGATATCCATTCACATCAGAGTCATTGAATTTCATCAAACTATTGAGTTGAATTTTTTTGAAAATGTTTGTTTTCCTTCCGGAAAATGATTGTAATGAAAATAAAGAATAAAGTCTCAGAACTCCTTGAGAAATTACCATTTTTTGCAGACAGAAATCGTACATGCATAATGCCCCTCATTTTTAAACACCCAAGAATGATAATAATTTTACCCAATTCCTAACAAAGTTGTATTTATTCAGGTTCCTGTAGTTGAGTCCTGTTTATAAATCTGTTTAGTATATAAATCTTCAGGAGGCATGATAGCCAATGGAGCAAGGTGCGTGCATGATAAGCCAAAGGTCCCGGGTTTAATCCCTACTCGACCTACAACTTTTTTCTTTTGTCGAAAAGATGTTCCTGGGATATCCTTGGGACGTCCTAGGGATATCCTTCCATCGTACTTGGTACATCCCAGGGACGTACCAGAAGGACATCCCTTGGATGCCTTTTTTTTGTAGCATCCCTAGTATGTTCGTTGTCCCGACAAAGGACATCCCTGGGATGTCCTAGTATAAAATCAAGGACGTCCCTGGGAAGTCCCTAGGATGTACTGGTGTTGTTAGGGTTGTGACCGAATGGTGACCAATGAAGATAGGGAATACATTTAGCGATTTAGCCGCATCAAGGTTGGTAGAACTGATGGTGATCATAAGTTCTAGGAAACACACCATCTGACTTACAATATGTGAACCCCACGTCAACGTCTGAAATTCAGTTGTTTATATCAAGAACCAGGTATAGGACATAGTAAATACGAGAAATATATGAACTCAGAATTCGATTCGAAATTCAAAAATCAAATACATAATAGGTGGTTCGATTTGATGAATCTTGAAAGATATACATATTGTTTAAAGTGAAATGAGAAATAAAAAAAATCCCGGTTGTTCCAAAGTTAACAAGAAGGGGGTTACTGTATGGAAAATTATAAACAATTAATAGGTTCATACTATGTCTAGGGATATCGACTATTTGGTGAGATTTGGCAACATTGGGAGAACATGATACTTTCACCATCGCACCAATGAACTCAATATAATCATCACACTCGCCAAGAATAACGGTACCTCAGCGGTACCATCAGCAATAATGCACCGCCAAATGAGTGCTACAGAAGTCTCCTTGCAAGTACCTAAATGCATGGATAAGAATAAGTTATTCCAAAACCAATAATTATACTCGTAACGTTAGTATATAAAAATAAAAATGCAATTGCATGTAGGGTACTATATAGCACAGTTTTCAGTAATATTATGTATACGCTCGAGTATGTATTCAGTACTTGTGGCACACCAGTGCATATAACTTGTTTTCCTTGAGTGAAGTAATTCGAAAAATTAACGTGGCATTCTCATTACTTCATATAGGTACCATACGGTTGGTTATTTACTTAATGAACTAATCCTATCATCATTTTATCAACTGATAACATTTTCAATGCTTTTCCGGAGTGAATATATCGTCGATTTCTGATCTATACCGATCTCAATAGCTTTCCAGATGGATGGAATACAAATAATAATGTTACGAATTGAATTGACTTGATTTAATCAGAAACCTAAAGTTTGTTTTGGACTCAAAGTGTCAGTGTTGAAAAAACCAAAGAAAAATGAGGATTTTGAGACGAACGTACATAAAGTACGCACCTCTAGATCTGGATTTATATCTAGACGACGCATCAAGTGAGTTGAACACTTTTATATTCCCTTCAAGCATAGATTAAACAAACAATAATCTATGCTTCAAGTCAATATGCTACAGCTCCCGACCACTTCACTTCAAAAATTGCTACAACCCGGTTTGGTATTTGGAGCATTGAAAGAATTCGAAATATTGATAATTCTAAGAATGTATATACTTATATCATACATACCGGATGTTCCAAAGAGAAAAGATAATATAGTCTGCCTCACTCATTTTGATAAAACACAATTGACATTGTAGTAAATTCAAGTTGAGTCATAATATATGGCGGACACATACTGAACCAAACTTAAAGTCTTCTTTCGGTAATTCCATTTCGGCCTTATACAAAGTGATTGAGTGGCAAGTACCATAAATTGGAGGGCTTGTAGAAAATGTCTTATTACCGAAATATATATAGGGTCGGCTGAACGATCAGATTTTTCATTATGTCTTTTCACACAGTGGACCAATGATCTGGTCATGTCGTTCTCAGAACAAGCAAGAAATGGAAAAATTTCGAATACAACTGAAGCACATAGTGAAGTATATTCCGTGGTCATAAGTCATACCTTTTCTGATTACCAGACTGAATTGCTACAAAAAATACATTTTATTTACAACCATATATGCCATGTTGTCATCACTAACGTCATTTAAGTTTTTAGAAGTGTCACATGCACGAGTCACATGTTTTATTTTGATTGTCTATATTACCCCAAGAAACATTTCTGTCTATAATAGGGATACATGAATACATGAAAAAATATAGTAAAATGTTAATTAATGAATTCCACTCAGTGGAAACAAGTTAATATTGATTCTTGAGATGAAAGTTATAACATTTCATTTCTGTATAATCAAATCATGCCACATATTTTTCATTCAAATTGTCTTGCGCAAGTATTATTTTAGATTGATTTCAAATAATCAATTGAAAAAAAAATAAGCTTGTTTTATTGGTTTTATTTGTTTCCTACCTTGTTTCAGGACCTAAATTCGGCAAAAGGCATGGACAGATGCTGATTTACTTTCTCCTCATATTGATCGCATACTCTATTCGAGTGAACTTATCCGTAGGAATAGTAGCCATGACAGATCCGACAGCTAGTTTGAATCCAAATATACCGGTAAGAATTATTATGAATCATAATTTCCAGCAGTTGAAATAAATTCGTCAACAACCTTGAGTTAGTAGCATAAAATCCGAGATGTTACAAAACATGGCGACACTGTTATGGTGAAAAATACATTATTGAAAGTACATTGCGTATACGATACAATGTTTCAAAATATTCTTTAGACAGCTTCACCACGTGATGACTTTTGCTCCCGATCCTGTCAAATCTCACATTTTGTCAAAATAATTAACAAAATATAGGTTATTTCTCGAAATTTGCAAAATAGCTTCAATTTCCGGTATAGTTTTTTAACAGCTCGATAGAGCTGTCTTTTCTGATTCCTTTGATATCATCAACTTGCATATCTAATTTTCTTCTCATTCCACACGTACAACTGGATAGACCAGCCATGGGCATCTGCTCCCTAGAAGGCCTTCTGCTACTGGTACTGGTGGGGGACGACTGCATGTCAGCAACAAGTCCCTAATCGGACCTTACTGCAAGCCCCGAGGTGTTTAAATGAGAAACTTAATTAAAATAAGAATTATTAAGAAAAGCAAGTATCTTCTGTCAGAAGTCATTTCCTCATTACATGACTACAATCCAACGAATTCTGTTGAATAAATTATACTTACTTAAGTCCATTCTAATGGACGCAGGTGCAAGAAAATATTCCCGTCCAACTGGAGAATCGCAATAGTACAACCAGTTCCTAAAAAAGGCAAAAATTCCCTAATACCTATAGCAACTACAGACCGATCGCATTGCTATCTATTATTTCAAAGATCATGGAGAAAGTATCAACATCGAGCTCATGAAATACCTGGAACATTCAGGTATAATCAACGATAGGCAAGATGGCTTCCGTCATCAGAGATCAACTGGTGACCTGCTCGCTTACGTCTCACATATATGGCAGCAATCTATTGAAAAATATGGTGAAACCTCAGCCGTGGCACTTGATTCGATCGAGTCTGGCACCATGGACTTCTCGCCAAGCTTCCATCTTATGGCTTGCCTCCCCAGCTATGTTTTCTGCTAGCTAGTTTTCTCTCAAACAGGTCTCTCCATGTAGTGGTCGACGGAGTTTCATCTGACTCTCTTATCATAAATGCTGGTGTTCCGCAAGTATCAATTCTAGCACCAACACCATTTCTACTCCATATCAACGATTTGTTAGAAGCAACTTCATGCTGTCCAGTACACAGCTTCGCGGATTATAGTACCCTGCATACCGCCGTACTCTCCGTACCGCCTCCTCTTTCAGGGCTTCAATACCAGCCAGGCAAATGAGAAACGGACGAGGAAGAAATGTTGACAACATATATATGGACTCGGCAACAACTCCCGAATGGGGATCCAATAACTGGGTAGGAGCTATTTCACTTCCAGTCAGCTGCTTATGATCTATAAGGCACAGATCCGACCTGTCCTGGAATACTGTTTCCATATTTGGAGTGCAGCACCCAAAAATACCCTGAAACTGCTGGATAATGTCCAATGAAGGGCAATTCGTCTCGTGGGTGATGCCTCGCTCACAAACTCACTCACTTCTCTGGAACACAGGTGTTCCCCGAGGCATATATAACCTTCAGAAATTTAAGAACACTATAATTCCTACCTTATTTCCCTTGGTTCTCACGATGTTCTCTGAACATTTCACAGGATATCCCTTTTCGTGAGAACTAGTACATGAAAAATATACCATAACGAACCCGTTTCCCCTTATTTCAGACGTACAACTGGACAGACAAAAGCATAGTCCTCTCGGCCTTCTTCTGGGGCTACATCCTGCCCCAGATCGCAGCTGGCTGGCTGGCCAACCGCTACGGCCCCAAGTGGTTCCTTGTGGGAGCCATGGGCGTCTGCTCCTTAGCAGGACTGTTTCTGCCTACCATGGCGGCGCAGTTTGGCTCGAGGGGAGTGATGGCTGCTAGAGCGCTGCAAGGGCTGTCCCAAGGTTTCATTTTTCCTTCGATTCACAATCTGCTGGCGAAATGGGTGCCGCCTGGAGAGAGAAGTCGACTTGGCACCTTCGTATATGCCGGTAAGAAATAGGGATCATCAATTAATGATTATGGAGTTGTTCATACATATCTGATATTGAGAATTAATAAGATGTGAAATGTCTATATATTCATTGACGATCCAAATGATGTTGAAGAAGTGTTCTGGGTTCTGGGTCCTCACAATCAGGAATTTATGTAGGATATAAATAACAATTAACAATCAACAATTAACCCAAATGGGTACCACATGTAGAAAGAAGTCGACCTGGCACTTTCCTATATGCCGGTAGGTCAATATACTAGTGAACAGGAATGTTGAAAGATAAAGCTGGATTCATAGATTCAATCAAACTATCAATTAGGAATTATCAATTAAAAATAAATAATTAATAAGTATGAAGATGTTCGTACATATCTGATATTATGAATAAGATGTGGAATGTGTCTTGTTTGACGATACTAATGATGTTAAAAAGTGTTCTTGGTCTTCACAACGCATGAATTCGTTCAGAATATAATTAACAATCAACAATTAAAAATCAAAATGATAAAAGTAATAATGAATAGTTAACGGGTGATATTGCTGATTTTATAGTTTCAATAAAACTAACAATGACGAATTACCAATTAACAATCAGAAATTACCAATTGACAATCAATAATTGATAATTATGAATATGAAAATGTTCATACAATCCTGGTATTAATCAAGAATTAGATATGGCGATCCAAATTATATGATGTTAAAGAGTGTTCTTGGTCTCCACAATCCATGAATCCATATAGGATATCCCAAAAAAATATTAAATATATTCATGTTCTTCCTGTTTCCCAGATGTCGCCGGTGTATGAGCCCTCGAAGATATATCTCCTTGTATTCAACTTTTCAAGATCTTAGTTGTTCGTTTAACTCTCACTTTTGTTGAGTCTGTCAACTCAGAATATGCGCAACTTTGCGAGTTTGTGACCTTGAAATCAGGAAAAGATAAGACAAATCTTCGAGACCAAGGATTCCAAAGGTAAATGAAATTAATGCATTTTTTTTTCAGCTGGTCCCTTCGGTACCGTAGTATCAATGTTGCTAACGGGTTTGATAGCTTCGAGTTGGTATGGTTGGCCGATGGTATTCTACTCTTTCAGTGGAGCTGGGTTAGCTTGGTGCTTCCTCTTTTCCTACTATGGTTGCGACGGACCATCACACCATCCGACGATAACCAAAGAAGAGCAGTTTTACATCGAAAATAGTTTAGGACACGCTGAACACAAGCCGGTGAGTACTTGAATGATGATTACCACTTACACATAAACACTGATCTTAGGCAAATACGCGACGGTGTTCCATCAGGCAGAAATTATTGCAATACATCACTGCGTAAAAGAATTGATAAGGTAAGAGTTCAAAGGGGAAACCATTGCAATCTATTCGGATAGCCAGGCGCAATCAAAGCAGTTAACTCAATGGAAGTTAACTCAAAGGTAGCATGGGACTGCTCAAAAACCCTAAATGAACTGGGCAGTCAGAACAGACTGACTCTAGCATGGGTACGTTCATATAGTCAGGGATTCTAAATTCTGATACCAATTGAGTGGATGGAGTCAGAATAACTAAATTCAAACCACTATCCGACTAGAGTTAGGGCAATTTCACCTAATTGTTCCCTCGACCCATTGGTAGGATACCTACCCTAATATCCTGATTCTCGTATTCTGAATTACTTAAATTTTTTTCCATATTGGTAAATATGAAGTAAATATGACTTGATATTTACAAAATAAGTCGTTGATCTATTGTGAGGTCGAAATGACGTATATTATACCTAAAATGTTTGATAAGCAGTAATCGGCTGGAAATATACAGGATCAATACTCAATATTTTCTTGCAGAGAATGTCTACTCCTTGGAAAAAAATCTTCACTTCTCTGCCTGTTTGGGCAATTTTCCTCACTCAAAGTGGACACAATTGGGGCTTCTGGACACTTCTAACTGAAATCCCTGCCTACATGGGTCATGTCATGAATTTCAACATCAAATCGGTGAGTACATTTCAGGAAAATTTCTCCAAATAGTAGTTTACCTAATACGTGCGGAAAGTGATAGTTGTTCTCACGCGATTGCAGATGGCCGAACGACGAGACAGAGTTACACAAAAAGCATTTCCTAACATGTTAGGTACAATATTTTTCTGATTTTGAGGAAAATGTCACACCTAACATTTTCGACCAATTGCGGCGCATGAAAGCCTGGAAGTTGTTTCTTCCTTCTTGGAGGAAGGAGCATGAAATCACGCTTATTTTTTATTATTTCTATTTCTAATATAGCTCTGTTCTCAAAAAATGCTGATGTCCATAACCATGCTATGAGAGCATCAAGTAAACTCAGAACTCCTAGATTCAGACTATCTGTCACTGAGCAAAATTCTATAAATGTCAGATATTTCAATGTTTTACCACCAGCTGCCAAATCTTCGAAGTTTATCCAATTCAAGAAATGGGTGAAAAATCATTTACTATCACATGCATTCTATTCAATTGAGGAATTCCTCTCATTTAAACATGGACACATGATACTCACCCCAACTCCACAAACTTATCAGGGCGTTGTATTGATACGATCTTACTCACCTGGTTTCACTTTCAAAATTTCTAAATATTAATCTGAACTTGAATAAGCCATTTTCTACTAATAATTAGATGCATATGAAAGCTTAGAGATATTTAAGCATAGTAATAGAGTAATGAATAAGGATAATGGAAATATCCCATTTTGCCCACTGTATAGTTTAGTAATATAACATATCTATTCACGGTTGAGTTGACATATACGTAGTATATAAGTAGCCCACTAGGATAGAGCATTTAGTTTTGATCTTCTCCTGAAGATTCTAACATAGTTAGCGAAACACGTGTCGAGGTGTAAAAAAAAAGTTTCAAATTCCAATCGGCAATATTTACATCGGCATAAGGGAAAGAAGCACTAGCATTAGTATTCGTTTATATCCCTAATAGCACACAACGTCCTATTATAGGGACGTCCCTATTTGGTACAATTCACGTCCGAATGTCCCGAACCAAAAATAAGTGTTCTTGGGACGTTCCGTCCCGTACATCTCATGCAATGTCCGAGAAAGGACGTCCACGGAATGTTCCAGCTGGTACATCATTTCATATGTCCTAGAAATAGCATCCCTTAGACGTCCCACGTGGTACATATTGTAGAATGTCCATGCAAGGACGTCCTTGGCATGTCCCTGATGGGATATGATTTTAAACGTTCCTTTAGGGACATCCATCGAATGTCCCGAGTAGTACACATTCTGGCATGACTTCAGATCCTATATAATGTCCCTTCTAGACAGCCATGAAATGTCCCTGATGGTACATTCCTTCAAATATCTATGCACAGACGCCCTTAATATTTCCAGGATCGTATAACAATCGAAATGTTCCTTAGGGATATCCGTCGGATGTCCCAATTGGTACATAAACTTTACTCTTCCAATGTCCTAGAAATAACGTCCTATGGACGTCCCAGTCGGTACTTTCAGTATGTTGTTCCTGCGAGGACGTTAATTCACACCTCGCCGACAAATGATTGCTCGTAGGCCATAAGTACTCCTCATCAATGTCCTTCACGTGAGTCCATTGGACATCCTTGGGAAACTTCTTGGGGACCTTCTACGGACCATCAACTCAACTGGATGTCCTAATCAGTTATGCAAGATCTGGTCCTATAGGGACCCAGAAAAACTCAAATCCAAGAATAATTCGTACGTCCCTAGGACATCCTATGGACATCCAATTGGTATCCCTCAGCGTGCTGATAGGTTGTCCTATGGATGTCCTAAGGATGTCCTCTGTAGTGCTTGATGAGGAATACTGTAGGATTCAGGTATTCGATAGTTGTCCCAGGAACATCCCTCAAGGATGTCCCTAGTTGGTTCTCAAGTGAGACATTCGTGCGTCCCACAGACGTCCAATAGACGTCCACGGTACCAAATTCGAACGTCCTATGGACGTCCTGAATGTCCCGACAAGGCGTCCTAAGGATATCCATGGGACATAAGTGTGTTATTAGGGATATGCATCGATGCATAGATTTAAGGAGGGTGTAATTCAATGTTCTGCGTGGTATTAGCCAGGAACGAACTTGTTCACTTCCCGTCAACTACCATTTTTGTTCATTTTATGAACATTTGTGGAAATGACTTTGAGCTTTTTGTATTTATTCAAATTAATTATTAATAATATTGATATTGAACGTACAATTCATATCATTCTGCAAATTAATTGCTTTGTCACTTTTGTGACAAGTAAACTTTTCCGCATGCTAGTAGAAAAAATGTACTTATCCAAATTAACCATTCCAGAATAGCGTTCTCTCTGCCCTTCCGTACTTCGTTCTGTGGGTTATGAGTTTCGTCTTCAGCTATATCGCTGATCTATTCGTCAATCATAATATCTTCAGCATTGGAGTTTCTAGAAAAGTGTTCAACACTATAGGTAAGTCTGTCTTTACTCACCAACAAGACAAGGGCGGTCCTACGGGGGAGGGGGGTAGATGGGGTCATCACCCCCCTCAGAGCATAACAACAGACCAATTTTTTTAATTGTAGTGAATTTGTTAAAAATTCAAATTAAAAGACGCAACACTAATTTCGTCGTACCCCGAAATTTTGTCCCTGTTAAAATATGAATAACTTATTTCTGCATTGAACAATTTGAATTCGGATTACACTGTTCGCTAGCGCAGTCCTTCAGCTATAATCTCGTACTCCTTTGAAAGCATAAGGTTCTTCATATAAAATCGCTACAGGGTGTCACCTGAAACTGTGAAAAATTTCGGAATTTTCAAAAGGATCCCAAATGAACAGAAACTTTTTTCTCAACTTCGACAGCAGACGCATGAAAATGATCTCATTCTCAAATCGGCTTCTTATCTCTTCTATTTACAGAGTGATCTCAAAATATTAACTTTCTGGTATTGCAGTCATACATTTTTTCCTTGTCAACCCGTTTTTAGAATCTCATTTTGAAGTTGAAACTTCAGATGAAGAGATATGAAGATCAGAATTGACTCAAGATGAACATTATACAGTGTGCCTCACTTCTAAAGGAAGCACCCCTGTATGTTTCGTTGATTGTTGAGTTAGGATTCTGAAACTCACAGGAACGGGAGATATACTGATAATGAACACTATGACCAAGTGGAGTCATCTCCAGTGATAAACACTGCTCGTCAACATCCATGAAACCACCCAAATTTCCGGAAAATGTTATCATAGGAGCCAAGATAAGTTCAAAATCACTTCGGATTCGAAATCAGGACGTCCAGTTCACTGACTATACATATTTTGCCTGGAAAATTTTCAGTTCTGGAAAATTTAATTGTTTCTCACTTCTCCCCCGTTATCTCGTTAGTTATATTGAGGAAGGGTTCTAAAATTTGCAGAGGGAAACAAAAAGGACGTCCTGATTCTGAATCCGAAGTGATTTTCAACCTATATCTTGCCTCCTTATATCATTTTTGTGGGTGGCTCCATGGCTGTTGGCGAGCAGTGTATATCCAGAATCCTACCTTACCAATTACGAAAGATACAGGGGTGCTTCCGTCATAAGTGTTCATCATGAGTCAATTCTGATTTTCATATCTCTTCATCTGAAGTTTAAGCTTCAAAAAGAGCCTGAGATTTCAAAAATTGGTTGGCAAGGAAAAGGAAAAGTAACGACTGCAAAACCAAAAAGTTAATTTTTTGACATCACTCTGTAAATAATAGAGATAATGAGACAATTCCAGAACTGTGCCAAGATAATGAGATCATCTACATGCCTCTACTGTCAGTTGAAAAAATAAGTTTTTTCTGTGACGGGAAGAAAATTTGGCATTTCATCTCTGTTGGCGGGTTATAAAATGTCACTTTTCATAAATTACTTTTTTTCCGTGGGAAAAAAGTGAGTACCTACTTTTTTTCCGGATATATCACATATACACTGTTGTGCTATAGTTCCGAAAAATGAGTCAATAATACCGTCTCCGACTTCGCGGTTACGTATATTACTGAACAACCACTAAATTCGCAATTTTTTGAAATCAAATCACAAAATTACACTGACAGAAGTGACATCAGATATTTGATTACTTCAAACGAATGATAAAGATGCCTACAACGCAGGTGTCCCTACTGTTAATAACTTAAAATTTCACGTCGATAATTTTCAGATTTCAAAATAATGTATTTATTATCTTCTTAATATTGATTCGTCCTTTCTTCTGTCACAGGAAAAAAATAGTGTATTATACACGGGAAAATATTAGATTTCAGCTCACGGTTTTTTGTCTCCCTCCGCTACCCGTCCCTTGTATAGTAAATAACTATTTTCTTCATTTAGGATACTTTTGAAATTTCCGAAATTTTGCACAGTTTCGGGTAACACCCTGTAGCGATTTTATGTGAAGAACCTTATGTTTCAAAGAATCACGAGATTATAGCTGAGGGACTGAGCTAGCGAACAGTGTGATCTGAATTCAAATCGTTCAAAGCAGAAAAAAGTTATTCATATTTCAACAGAGGCAAAATTTTGGGGTGCGACGATATTAGTGTTGCGGAGTTTATAGTTCTTTCTTTTCCGAAATATAGCTGCATTTTTTATTGCGATAACGCACTTTGGGACACCTGTAGCAATTATCCATTGCATTACAGGAAGTGTATCCGGACCTACCTATTTACTAATAAAATGGTAGATTTTCGGTATTCATGCATCATTCATCATGCATCATCAGATTCAAATTGAATGTTACTGTTTTCTGTTGCAAATCGGTCATTCAGATTCAGTGTAATATTGCCTGCATATTATTATTGCCGGAAATATGAATGCGCAGCAATCAGTTGCCTGCTAGTCATAGAAACCATCCATTTTTCTCAAAGTGGTCCAGAATTTTTCAAAGAAAAAGACACAAACCCAAAGTTGGTCGACCTCAAAATGGGCGTGTACACCTTAGTAGAACTTTTAACTCAAACCATGTTTATAATGATCCTTTCATACATAAATAATGATTGACGACATAATTCGATCGAAAAATTAACTGGAATGTTTTATTTTTGGACATAAATAATATAGTACCTTCTGAAAACGGACCCTCTTATGACGTAGAAACCTCATCTCGCCATAGTTGAAAGAAAATACCAAACGCACGACGGAGACTGAGGCAACTTCTTCCAACTGTGATCTCGCGCTAATTCACTCTGCCAGAAATCATGGTATCATTCATCTCTGTCTGGAATAGTCTTGTTTCAGTATTAGGGTTTTGACGTCACATCATCGCCTCGTTTTCAGAGGTCCGAAAAATCGGGGATTTCAATAATTTTTTATAAAACGTAGAGAGCTCACAGCAAGAAACGGTTTGCGGTGGTGAGCTAGTTTGGGAGAGTTCTATCGAATTATGGAACAAAAATTTTTTGTGATAGTATAAGCCCATTTTTCGGCCTACGGCCATGATCAGACACAATACAAGTACAAGAAAATTCATTTGCGAAAATTGGTGGGTTCTTTGTATCGACTGAACAACCAGAATTGCATGCAATGGAAAATTGGGAACTGTGAAGTCAATAGAAATAAGACAAAGAGCAAAAAATATAATTTCCTGAAGATATGAATACCTATAGTTTGAATGATTCACAAAATGACTATCACCCCCATAGACATTCACCTTAGGACTGCCCTTGCTACAAGACTTAAGTACACAATTTTGCCTGTTTTGCTGATGAACAGAAGTACATATGGCTATAGTCATCAATGAACCAAGAGAAAGAATTTCAGAGCTTCTAGACGATTTTACCGACTAATAACTATATAGATTCCTCAGAATTACAATTTTATGTTTTTCAATATAGTCACCTATATTCTTCTTCTTCTAACATTTTTCAAACAAGATGTAACGGACTCGGTAACGGATTATCAATTGAAGGTCTCCTTCATGTTTCTTATAGCGAACTTTCAAGTACCGTGACATTTTGGGGCAAATCATCTATTTTGACATTACTATACAGTGTGTCCCGCTTTTCATGAATACACCCTGGTATCTCAGCTATTGATTATGCTATTCTCTTGAAATTTTAGCGGTGATTGTATGTTAGAACAATGAAGTATTTAGCAGAGTGAACAGTTTTATTCACCATTTACGTGCAATGTTGAGGGTTACAAAAAGGCCATTATTCGGAAAAAGGATATTAGGGCTTATTTTGAATAACTGTTTTCATCAGATTCAGGATCAGCATCCCCAAAAACCTCCCAATTCATATTTACGAAATCTCAAGAAAAATTCAAAATCCTGCTTTTCATGGCTTTGTCCCAAAATCTCATTTATTAATGATGCGATTTTCTCGAAACTGTGATGGTGATCGTATGTTTTTTTTACATACAATCACCATCGAAATTTCAAGAAAATCGCATAGTTGATAACTGAGATTCAAGGGTGTTGTCATGAAAAGCGAGATATTGATATAGTTTATTTTATCTCTTGGGATCTTGAAAATTTGGAATGGGGGGTTTTTGGGGATGCTGATTATAAATCAGATAAAAAAAAGTTATTCGAAATGAGTCCTAATATCCTTTTCCCGAATGAAGGCCTTTTTTGTACCCATCAACATCGCACGCCAATGTTGAATGAAACTGTTCATTCGGCTAAATACTTCCTTATTCTAACATACAATCACTACAAAAATTCCAAGAGAATCACACTATTAATAACTGAGATATCAGGGTGTATTCATGAAAAGCAGGACACACTGTATATTATAAAACAAACAAACAAACAAAGAAGTAGATTGACTGACGCGGCTCATAGCCATTCAGTCAAGGCAGTCGTCAATCTACATTTTCTGCCGTGTGGAACATAATTTCTTCTCCGAAACCAATTATGTGTAATTTTTTTATTGAAAACTACATCGTTTTTTGTTCACCCAATGTCAGTGTTAATTTTGATTACCAATTTCATTCAAATTACTTGGAACGTTGCATAACAACAAACTTTTCATGCCTAGGCAGATAAAGTACACCTTTTCTGCCTGTTAAATGTCAGAAAAAAGCCGCTTGGGGAAAAATGAACATTCCTTATTGTTACTCACTGAATTTTAATTTTAGGTCTGATAGTACCAGCCATCGCCCTGGTATTCCTAGGGAGTACTGGTGAAGATGAACACAATAAAGCCATAGCTCTACTAGTTGTAGCAGTTGGAATCAACTCGGCCATATTTTGTGGTTTTAATGTCAACCACATGGATATATCGCCTAACCACGCAGGTCCTTTGATGGGTGTTACAAATGGAGCTTCTAATGTATGTGGAATAATCGCCCCACTTGTAGTTCAATTATTAGTCACTGATGAGGTAAGTCGCATATACAGTGAGGATCGAAATCAATGCACTTGGAGATTTTTTTTTATTTTGTTATTGACTGGCGATCAAATCAATCTAATTGCGAATTGTTGGAAAATATGCCTGATATCGCGAATGCCGATCCAAAATGTTTCGTTTGAGGTCCGTATATATAGGGTCAATCCGTATAATTAAACAGCTTCTACAGGGTTCATCATTGATTATAGAAGAAAACCTCAAATACATCTGTTGTAGGGTTCGTTCTGAACCTCCAGAGAATTGTACGAGGTGAAACAAATGTCTATCGCTGATATAAGAAATGGCCACAAGCTTCGTTATTTTCAATGGAACACCCATAGAATCTATGGAACACCTTATATATTTTCCAAAAAATATGGATATCTTCCTTTTCTGATTTCAAAAATATGTAAGTTGTTGATATTTGATTAAGGGCCTTTTCATGCATCATTGTTTCAGTCTTAGTCACAGTCTTTGTTTTAATCATAAAATCAAGATATGAGCATACATTTCAATAGGTGAATTCATGCAACATTTTAGTCTCAGTCTCAATCATAATAATCATTAAATCACGACCTTGAAAGTTACGAACTTTAAATTTTTACGCTTATGATATTGACCACATAAGAAATGCGCATGTGTGGACCTATCAACATATTTGACAATCACGTATGACTTTCAATTTTGTGTTTGTCACCAGAAAATCAGTGCCATTATGTGCTGTGTCAACAATTGATTACATCATTCTGATAATTTGATTACATTTGATAACTAATAATACTAATATCAAATAAAACCATGAGCCTGGAAGAAGGAACCCTAATAGATTTGCTGGAAAAATTTTCTCATCTTTGGGACAAGAAAGGCTCAAAATACAAAGATAAAATTGCAATAAAGAATTCCTGGAAATCATCAAAATTAGCTCAAAAACCTGCTTCAAAACAAAATATTAGAATTGGCAGTTGACATTATTGACACCTCAGTTGTCATTTTTGACGGATTGTCAATTGTCATATCATAATCCTCAAGCCAAATATGATGAGTTGATATTCTATCCACCTTGGGTAAGACTATGATTAATATTTGAGGTCGAGCAATTTCGATTTGGTAGAATAAAACTATAACTAATTCTGAACTAACCTCGAATATTTCATCAACCACTGGACCATCTATTTTTGAAATAAAAAGAAGATCTTCAATTCTTTCGGATATTTAATAGAGTGTTCCATTGAAAATAACAAAGTCGATACCCACTTCTACGAAGGCCTGGAAGGGACACATAAAATAAAAAAAATAAAAACTCTTCAAAATTCTGAGTTATAACTCGGAATTTTGAAATTCCGAGTTATAACTCGGAATTTTACATCAAAATTCCGACTTATATCTCGGAATTTTACATCAAAATTCCGACTTATAACTCGGAATTTTAAAATTCCGTGTTATAACTCGGAATATTGGATGTAAAATTCCGACTTATATCTCGGAATTTTAAAATTCCGACTTATAACTCGGAATTTTAAAATTCTCTCGGAATTTAACATCCAATATTCCGATTTATAACACGGAATTTTGAAGAGTTTTTATTTTTTTTATTTAATGTGTCCCTTCCAGGGCTTCTTATATCAGCGATAAGTATTTATTTTTTCCACTCGTACAATTTTCTGGGCCTTCAGAACGAAGGGCCCTGGATTTATTGACATGGTTTTTAAAAACTCTCATTGTCCTGAAATCAACGGAGCAACGAAATGGGTGTTTGTTCTTAATCCTATTAAAAAATCTATTCTTTGTCTCTATCTCTCTAACACATGAGTTCATTTGGAAAATACCAATAATAATATGAATTTTCCGTATAATACAATCGTTGAAAACTCGGTTTGAAAATCTGATATAACACCATCTTGTAGCCAAAAAAAATATCAACGAGAATGTAAAATTTGTTTTGTACATCTATCCGAATAGTGTCAGAAAAAAATAAAAATGAAATCGCGAATATTCAGAAGAAGAAAAATCTTCGGAAGTATTCGAAATTTCTCAAATCTCAGAACGACATTGTGTTAGACAACAAATTGTGCAATTTTGTCCTCTTTTAACCCTTTAATTCTCTAGATCTTATCGTTCACCCCTTTGCAGGCATCTACGACAATTTCACTCACCCGGTTAATATTTAATATTCATATTCATTCATATTCAAACGAAACTTGAAACAGTACTGAATTATACTTATAACCAATGATTGAATGAAAAACTATACATTTTTATTTATGAATTACTTTGTTCTCGAATCAATCAATTAATTTTAATAGTTTTCGTTCATATCCGTCGTTGTTGTTTTGATACCATGATAGCCGATTTTCCGTTAGTTTTCATAACCCATTGATAGTTCCAATTCTTGACGTACCTATGCCTACCCTGTGTATTGATTTGTCATGAATATATTTCAGAAAGATCCAGAACAGTGGAAAGTGATATTTTACCTCACTGCCTCAATTTATGCAGCTGCTAGCTTGATCTTCGTGGTTTTTGGTTCAGGAGAAATTCAACCTTGGAATGATGAGGAAAAGAATGGTATGATACTAGGTTATAGCAATGTTAACAAACAAGTTGTTACAATTACAATTTTTTATTATCATCTCATGCATTTCTTTTTTTTATAGGAAAAGAAAAATCTGAAGCCTAACAATTCACGTTCTTCAGATAAGATGAAATGGCTGTGATATATGATTTATTTAAATTTGGATCTAGGATCACAATATTTTAAGGAAAGGATGAGATGAGAATTCAAGAGCGTTTATCACCCAATTTATTTTTCATTCAGAAGTAAACGCAAAACCGAGCACCGAGGAAGGACCAAGCAAAATGCATTTTTGCCACAAATCATTGAATTCAGAAACATCTTATCCACTGTCTAACAAATCAAGGAAGGAAAATTGACAGTTTCTGAGGATGAATAGATATTGAATCAATGGTTCATCTCGTGTTTTGACAAAGTGATTCCATTCACGTCAAAATCAGATGATAAATGTCAATGCTACGGCTTGGGGCATCTCCCTGTGTAGTGAATCAAATTATCATACGTAGGTTAAATCAGAATATAAATCAAGTTATACCAATAGTCAGTATTACCTTCAATCAATTTCATCTACCTCTATATTTTCATTATTCAACGGAATCGATATGACGATCCATCCAAATGTATAAATATAGCCATATCAGTTATCAACACACCATTTTAATAATTTTTTTTTATCTCACTGGATCTCACAAGGTGGTTTTGACAGGGTGACGTAACAGATACAGGTCGGTTGAACGATGGTGAAGTTGCGCGATTTTATGCGCAACAAAATGGCGTTTTGAATAGATATATCCCAAAAAACTGAAATTTACTAAAATCTCCTCGTCTTCCCGGAAGCATCATCAACTTATCTTTTTCAGATACGGACCTGGATTTTTAATTTAATTTTATCACACCTTCAAAAGCTTTAAGCTATCACAAATTTTTATTTCCGAATGTTTCATTTACAAAAATTGATTTTTTTTGTATTTTCTCAATATTCAACACGAAATTTTCAATATAAGTAACCGACTTGTTTATACGTCCATGTAACCGATGCTGTATCTCTTACGGTTGATAAAGCTCGAATTCCAGCCACTCTGTACGCATATTGATCACATCAATATGATGCTATCTCTAAACATTATCAGTGTTCTAATGAGCGATAGAATCTTCATCTTGACCATTGAACAAAAAATAAATGGAAAGTAGAGTACGTCAATTCAAAATTTGCATACTTACTATACATTATGAATAGTAGAGAATATTGTATACATTGAGCCTTATTCTTAGTGTCTAGATTATACTGATTATACAGGGTGTCCGCTAAAAGGAGGTCAATCCATTAACCATATATTCCTTGAACAAAAACAATATGAGTTTCTAAATACCATTTTTCATTGTAGCCCTTCATATTCGATATACAGGGTGTCAAAGTTGGGAATTAAAAACTATATTTTTTCAATTACTCGCGTATTTAATAAGATATTGATCTCAAAATCAGTACATTACTTCAGCACCAAGAGTTACATCGTGCGAGGAAAACAAAACAGAAAATAACTGTCAAATATTCAAAATACAGGGGGTCAAGAACACACTTACCCCCATATTTTTTTTTTTACGTGCGCTAATGACTTCCTATCTATTTTTCTTCAAGTGGTCAATCATTTTTGAGTATTTTTTGTCTCTTGTAGAATTTTGATGAAATCATTTGTTTTTGAGATAATTCAAAAAGTACTGGTTATTGTTTGAAATCTCATAATGTTCACATACCCCTATTTATTTCGTCGAAATTGGAAGAAGGCGTAACTTCTTACGTACGAAAAGGTAAATATGGAAATACCGGGTGCTTGAAGCGAATGTATTTAAATAATGTTTACAAAAAAAATTGATAAAAATTCAACACGTCTAAATGAATTAAAATATGAAATACACATGCGAGCCCTTTTAATTAAATTAAATCTTAGCCTATGAAAAATATGTGGCTAATACACAAAATCATTCTTACATAACCAGACAATCCTAATCTGCTATTTCTTTCATCAAGTAGTTATTAAAATGATTGATATCATAATTTCACCTCAAATTTCCGAAAATATTTTTTTAAATTTTTTCCGATTTTATTTCCCGTTCCTTCGCGCACGACATACCATACGGGGGAGGGCTCGAAAATATTTTTCAAAATTCCGCAACCCCAAAAACCGCTAAAACCGATTTTTAAAAAATTTTAAAGAATTTGCTGTTCTCGAAAAACATCAATTTAATAATTCTTTAAGTGGGCTCATCAATCGACCCCCCATTCTTCTAAAATCATTATTTTCCCGAAATTATTCAATTGAATTGATTAAAAGGGCCCGCATGTGTATTCAAAAAATTGAAGGTCATATCAAGCAACCTTTTTTTTTAGACGTGTTGAGTTTCTATAATTTTTTTTCTTGAAAAATTATTTTAATACATCCGCTCTGAGCACCCCGTATTTCCATATTCACCTTTTCGTACGTAAAAATACGCCCTCTTCCAATTTCGACGAAATAATCAGGACTATGTGAACATTATGAGATTACCGTAAGCCGCATAGGCATCAAACAATAACCAGTACTATTCGAATTATATGAAAAACAAATGATTTCATCAAAATTCCACAAGAGACACAAAATACTCAAAAATGATTGACTATTTGAAGAAAAATAGATGGGAAGTCATTAGCGCACGTACAAAAAAAATATGGGGGTAAGTCTGTACTTGACCCCCTGTATTTTGAATATTTGACAGTTATTTTCTGTTTTGTTTTTCCCACACGATGAAACTCTTGGTGCTAAAGTAATATACCAATTTTGAGATCAATATATTATTGAATACGTGAGTAATTTAACAAATACAGTTTTCAATTTCCAACTTTGACACCCTGTAGATCGAATATGAAGGGCTACACTGAAAAATGGTATTCAGAAACTCATATTGTTTTTGTTCAAAGAATATATGGTTAATGGATTGACCTCCTTTTAGCGGGCACCTGTATATATACAGGAAACAAGGTGTTATTCAAGTATGTCGCCAAACTTCAAAGGGCGATTATTTGGATGATTCTGAGACAAAAAGTTCATACAACACAAAGTGTTGAAGTTGTAAGTATTGAATGTTATTTTTCCTGATAACTTTGTATAAGCTCACATGATTTTCAAAATTTAGTCTGGTTGGTGACTAGAAAAGTCCGAATATCTCAGAATAATACTCATTGAGGTTATTGTGTAACCCCAATGGATTTGGAGTCAAATCAGTTTTTCATCATTTCCTCAGAAACAAAGTGATATACAAAATTGCAACATAGGACAAGAAAGTTTTTTTCTTCGATTGTTTAATCTGATTGAATGATCGAACTTGGACAAAACTATGACGTAACCCACTGCGACGCCACTAAGATAGTTATTCTGAATCTAATTACACCAAAAGAAACATCTCGATACTGTTAACAAAATCACAAAGTTTCATCGAAATTGGGAAACAGAAATTTGAGGGATTAATAATAAAAGTGATTTTTTATTGAAATTTTGACACCCCTGTATCCGAGCCTGTATCAGTATATAAACTTTTCGTCTTAGAATTACGTTCGGCCACATACTTAAATGACACTCTGTATATTTCAAATGTCACCCTGTATAACCAAATGATTCTATCATAATTTTACAGTTGTATATAGCACTATATTTATTGTTAAATAAAAATGATAATGATTCATTCATTTTTTTAATTTTTCCTACTGGAAGCGACATTTACTCGTGGACTTTTTAACCCGAGTCAATTATTGTACAGATATTTACAAGTATATTCAGGTATATGAATATGAAAAAACTAGATTAATTGGAAAAAAAAACAATTTCCCAATTCATTTAACAGTTTTGATATTCTGAATACTTGAACATATTATCCTCGACGATATGGCGATCCACTACAATCTGGATTACACAATGAGGAATTGAGTAGAGTCTTATCATACCGACTACTTGGTGATCTGGAAGAACCTACAGAAGGATAGTCTATAGATTGACCACGCATAACATAATCAGGCATGCTTTCGTCCTCAATGCGACTATAGTCCAAACCAGGACTAGCAGGGAATTGCATACTCTCGTCCTCAATGAAACCATAGTCCAAACCAGGACTACCAGGGATTTCCATACTCTCGTCTTCAATGAAGCCATAGTCCAAACCAGGGCTACCAGGAAATTCCATACTCTCGTCCTCAATAAACCCATAATCCAAGTTCTGGTTTGGTGGGAAGCCCATGCTTTCGTCCCCAATGAAACCACAGTTTAGTTCGTGGCTATCAGGAAAATCAATGGTCTCGTCTTCTATGAAACCGTAGTTCATTCCTGGACTAGGAGGAAAATCAATGGTCTCGTCTTCTATGAAACCGTAGTTCAGTCCTGGACTAGGAGGGGGAGCGCTTGGCCTATCTTGCATAAATCCAGTGTTCAGATCTGGGCTGGCAGGATAATCAATGGTCTCGTCTTCTATGAAACCGTAGTTCATCAAATTTTCAGGTGGAAATGCAGGCTCAGCTGTTGTTTGGGGACGAGGTGGTGACTGTCTGCTTGGTTGCGAGTAATAATTTTCAGGTGACCAGATATCACGTGACTTTTTCCATTGGTGATTCAAAAGTTCTCGAACGGAAGTTGCGTATCCCACAGGTGCGCCTGAAATCAATATGTGAGTATTTAAAATGATGCAAATCAGAAAGCTTTCGATATTTGGTTGTGAGTTTTGCCACCAAATTAGCTCTGTATAGTGATCACTGGCTCCGTAGTTCCTCACCTCTAGAAGCTTGTGGAGTAGCATAGCTACCGTCCAGAGCAATTACACTCAGATGAACAGCATTAGGAATATTGGCAACCTGGTTAGAGGTAGTTTGCACATTCAATACTTGAACACGATTTGCCTGAATATCTGCCAGTGCCTCTCTCTTGCATTCTTCTTCCAATCTCTCGAACTCTTGTAGCGAATCCTCTTCATCAAAAGCTGGTCCAGCCTGTGGCCTGGGTATTTGTGACCTGGCTACTTGTGGCATGGCTACTTGTGGCCTGGCTACTTGTGGCCTGGCAACTTGTTGACTAGTGACAGGTCGAGGAGATGGTGCAGCGACAGGTTGGGGAGCTGGTGCAGCGACAGGTCGAGAAGGTGCAGGAGCTGGTGCAGAAACAGGTCTCTGTCGTCTTGGTTGACTTTCTCGTATGGAGGGAGTATCTGGAGTTCTCACTGGGATACGCATTGCCACTCCTGGGACTTTCCGAATAGCCCCGGTTGGTCTAACCTGTGGTGTTGTGGGGGCTCTGGGAGTAAGTGGTCTAGGTGTAGGTATTCTCTGAGGTATTCCAGAATACCTCGGTGGCTCAGCTCTTTGAGGGGGTAGGACTCTCTGAGGTGCTTGGGCTGTAGTAGGTCGTACTGTCTGCCCAGAGTAGGGCCTAGGTATAGAACTTGGTGGGTACTCTGCAATCGGTTGTTCCACTGACATCCTTGGTTGCGAATTTCTCGATAATCTCATCGAAGTTCCTCCCGTCACAAGGTTTCGAGATTGCATTGCAGGTCTATTGGGGTCGAAGAAATTTTCATTGTATTGAAATTGCTGCACTTCACGAGGAAAAGATTGCCGCATTGGTGGCCATTGAGGAGTTTCACCTGGGGTCGTTGGGAAGTACTGGGGTGGCAGAGGAGAGTTCGCTCCTGATTTGGGTGCGCATTTGACAGCACATCCTGGACCTCTGCTTCTTGAGGAAGAAGGTGGAGGTTGGGATTGACTTGTTCTTCTAGTGGTACTAGGGTCGACCTTGGAAGGACATTTCATGCATCCCTTTTTCGTGCTCATATTATATAATCACTTAAATTTGTATAGAGGAAGATCGAGATCACACGCTTTAGTCACTGCAAATTTTGATGAACATTGATGGCAATCAGGTTTTCATAAAGTGCCGAATATAGAAATTGACAGTAACATTTCAGATTTAGCGCATAGGTGATTGACAGGTAAATATACAGGGTTATTTGCTATATCTTCATGCCCGCGTATAAGTGGATAGAGAGTGTTCAAAAACTCAATGGTTGCTATTATTTTGGGTTTCTGTTTCTCTATGGGATCCAGACCGCTAAAATCATAAGAAAGAAGCTATGCCTCTCACTATTACTTCTGTTTCCGAACACCAAGAAACATGACCCGCTGTAATGAACGTCAGTTCGGGGGTTCCTGTACATAATAAAGCGGTCTTATGTCTGTGGATGGATCATATCCCAATGCCACGACTGCTAGAATTGATCAAATAATTTGTTCATTATTTTTGTTGAAATATTTTTTTATTGGTAAACTACAGAACGCGCAGAAAACATGATTGTAGAAGTATGTTTCGACATTTTCAAAAATGTTTCATTTCATGACTGTATTAATTACCAGCGAGCACAAAAATGCCTGGGATGTTTTGAAAATATTGGCATGAAGATTGTTTCGTTGAGACGTAATATGCACTTCCCAAAGAGGTCTCTAAAAGATATTGAACTATTGTTTTTGTTCTTCTGTGTCATTTCTTTGTGTGCCTACTGAGAGGTATCACTATGGGTTTGTTTTGCGATGTTTCAAAAATTTAGGCATCAGGATTTTTTTTTAGACTTCCATAGAGGTCTTTAAAGGATACTGAAAGTATTGTTTCTGTTCTTTCTGTAGCATTTCATTGTTTGCCTACTGAGGAAGTATCCCTGGGATGTTTCGGGATCTTTGAAAAATGTTGGCATGAGGCTGTTTTTTGAAACGTAATATGACCCCTCAAAGAGGTCTTTGAAGGATATTGGAAGTATTGTTCTTGTTCTTGTTCTCCTGTGCCAGTTTTTTGTTTGCCCCACCACAAAGTTTGCTTAATAGACATGAAAAAATCGAATGTCGCTCTGACGTCAAATTCGATTACAGAATTAATGTCTTTGAGCAAGTGTTTTCTGATAATTTCTCATTTTGATGGCATTTTTAGGTGATCTAAGAATTTAGTAAAAGTGTTCTGAATGTTTTTGTACCTTCCATTCTTTCTAACAAATTTGGAATGAACATTGAAGACAAATTAAACAATGTATTTTCACAGCCATTTCCATGCATCACTTCACATCATATTATTTACAAAATTATTCGAGTATATCAAAATTATCAGAAATCCAACCGTCTAGCTGTGATACACCTTTTTTGCGAAGCAGACTGAGATACAACTCTGTCTGGTGATGGAGAACCAGATTGCGATCTTGGTGATGCCTGTAGTATGCCTGGAGATGCATCCGTCCATCCTCCCTGATCTTCTTCGCCTGGGCCAACAGCCACCAACTGCTGCCAACGACCAGGGCTCATCTCAGGAGAGTTTGGCAAACTCAAATGAATGTCTTGCATAGGTTCAATCATAGCACCACGACATTGGGAAAGCTTCAAATGCCCTGCATACACCGGGGATTCGAAAGACGTCTCATGAGCTGGGAATATTGGAGCTTCATCAACTGGAGAACAAGGAGATTGTGACCTCTGAGGAGTCCGAGCTGAAACAATTGGAGCGCAAGGAGATGGTGACCTCTGAGGAGTCCGAGCTGACGCTGCCATTGGTGTACGAAGGGGTGAGAGACGTATATCTCGAGGTGGTCCCAACTGAACCAAATTAGGAAGACCGAATCTATCCTGCTGTGGGGAGTTTCCTGAGGGTGGCGGTGACTCGTATTGAGGTGCTTCCATTTGCTGATCGAACAGCATCCCTTCACCTGGTCCAGCATCCCTGAAATGTTCCGGGCTTCTGACTTGAGGGGGACTTTGAGGGAAATCGTAATCAGGTGATTCTCCCACCAAGAATCCTGTATCCAAAACTGGCGGCGTCCTTTTTTCTTCCCTCCTTTGGAAGGCTTGTTCAATATTCGTGAAGTTCGAAGGAACGTTCGCTTGTGGAGACATTTGAGCTGGTATTCTAACTCGAATCGGAGATCTTTGTGGTGGTGGCCTAAATGGACTTTGTGGCTTGATTCTCAAGTGCTCAGGTGTTCTATATCCAGGCACGGTCGTCGGTGAACATGGCGATTGTGGAAGTTGCTGCACTGGACTTCCTTCTACTTGAATCGCGTCCAAATCCACCGGCTGACCCGTCCTCAAACTGTCAATGGCCCTTTGCATGGCTGGATCTTCTGGTAGAACATCTCTCCTTGATCTAGGTGTTTGAGGTTGAGGTGGGGGAGAGTAATAGGGATCAACTCTGGCGGGTTGGGCAGCTCTCTCGATAGCTGGTAGTCCGTATTGGTCGAGAGGTGGTGTTTGTTCCTGTACAGTAGGCATGGATGGTGGACCCGGTCGTTTTCTGACTATCGTGTCTCTGGGTACTCCGCCAACATCCTCGAATTCCATAGACCATGACTTCCGTAGATGATCTCTCAAAGACGGTCCTTGTGGTGCGGCTTGGTACGCTAAAATCAAGCATTCGATGTATGTACAAAATATACCATGAATGTCACAGAACTATTGATTGATTGTCTTTATTAACCCAAGAAACATAGTTATATAAACTGCCCCACACTTGAAGTGAGACAAGGAAAAATTTCTATCATTTTCAAACCGTCATAACTTTGGATTGCATCAACCAATTTTCAATTTCTTTCAAGATTCTGATAGCTCATTTCATTGAGTAAAACGTCAGTTCTTTTTTGTTATGCCACCTTTCCGACATGAAGACTTACAGGGTGATATCTGAAAATGTGAAAACTTTCGAAAAGTTTGGGATCACCCCGTTTCACCGGGATTTATTTTTATGTCTTATTGAGGGCGATGAAATGAAGGACAATGAGTTTTCCCGAAATGGTTCTGAATTCAAGAGGATTCATACAGGATGTTTCGATGTATGGAATTTTTCACATTATATTGCAATTTACGGCAAATTTGAGATCGCCCCGTTTGGCAGGGATTTTCATTATGTTTCATTGAGGGCGATATAAGATGAAGCATAATGAGTTTTCTCGAAATACTTTCCGATTCAAGAAGATCCATACAGGAAGTTGTGATATATAATTTTTCACAATATATTGCATTCTGATGTTCAACCCACAACCCACATAAACTCAACTTCAACAGAACTTCAGATTAGCTTATCCTGCTCAACGCTATCACTATACAATGTGTTGTACATTTTCAAACATACCGGGTATCATCGAATTTGTCAGACAAACCATGGTTTCCAGATTACGATTACGAAGATATTCTCGTTCGAAATTTCAATATGCTCAATAAGACGTGTGACAAAAAATGTTTTTTTTTAGGCAATATTATGTTGTCTTCAAACTTCAGTGACAATTCTCGCACGATGTGGTAGTTGATTATTATTATCATCAACCAGTATGAAATTGTCACCAACAGTTTTGGGCAACTGGAACGACAACTTCCCTAACACAATGAATGTCTTATTGATACTGAAGAGTATTCATACTCTTTCTCAAGATAACCATCAACGTGGGGCAACGATTTATCATGATACCGCCCCATGTTAATTTTATATACTCATCATTTTCTCATTATAAATATTGTGTTGATAATAATTATTAACGGCATTTTTTTCGTAATATTTCAATTTATTTCTACATCCCCTATATTCGAAAATGTACAACACATTGTGTAGTAATGGCGTTGATGATATGCCAATGTAAAATTCTGTTGAAGTTGAGTTTATGGTGGTTGAACATATCAGAATGCAATATGTTGTGAAAAATTCCATACATTCAAACATCCTGTATGAATCCTCTTGAATTCAAAACCATTTCGAAACAACTTATTGTTCGTCATTTTATTGCCCTCAACAAAGCATAAAAAAAATTCCCGGTGAAACGGGGTGATCCCAAACTTTTTGAAAATTATAACATTTTCAGGTATCACTCAGTAGGTCTCCATGTCGAAAAGGTGGAATAACAAAAAAGTACTGACGTTGTACCCAATGGAATGAGCTATCAGAATGTTGGAAGGAATTGAAAATTGGTTGATCCACTCCAAAGTTATGACCATTCGAAAATGATAGAAGTTTTTGCTTGTCTCACTTCAAATGTGGAGCAGTTTATATACAGTTCATAATAGGGATACATAAACAATATACATGATGTTATACATACAATTATGAAATCATAATAAGATATAACAAGTAAAAAAAAACATGCTAATAATCATGCAATATCAACCTTGTCTTTTATAAGTAGGTATTCAAATAAGAAATGGAATTATCAAAGTCTCTGAAGCAGATATATTTCAAAATTTGAAATGGGATTAAAAAAACACATGATTTCATTACGAAATGGATAAAATTGATACTTTGCCATCTACTGATTAGTCCCTGTGGGTATTTTTATGACTTGATCGATTTAGCATTTTTAGATTTTTTAGATTTTTATTGTTGTTGTTGTCACCTTATATTATTTTATTATTGTTGTTTGTAATCAACTTCCTCATACCGGAGTTTTATTTCTGACTGGAAGCTAGTTTTTCAATAAACAATAAACAATAAAGTTAATTTTGAATCTAGTTGCTTCCTGTATATTGATTGTCTTTATTACCCCAAGAAACATTATTGTTTATAATAGGGATATATACAACAAAACATACATATAAAACATAATAAATCGAAACAATAATAATTGCACAATTATTGTTTTTCCTAAAAAAAAGAATTATAATAAAATATAAAATGAAAATATCATAATCCATTACAAGTAATCAAATTGTGAATGATTGGTACTATTAAAGTCTACTAAGCAGATATTTCTTTAATTTCATATTAAATTTTTTTGCTTCTTCTATATTTTTCAACTCATTAGGTAAGGAGTTATACAAAATTATTCCATTATGGAATATTGATTGTTTACCAAAATTTGACTTATAATTATTTATTCCTCAATTGACTTATTGGTAATGAGTTGTATAGAACAATTCCTGTGTGAAAAATGGATTGTTTGCCGATATTTGACTTGAACGTATTTGCTATTAGTAAATTTGATTGTCTTGTTCCATGATTATGTAATGAATTGATTTCATTGAAATTTAAATTCGAAATTTTCAATTGATATAGGACAAATTGAATAAAACAACATATTTTAAGTTTATATAGTGAAGTCAGATCTAATAAATATCTAGGTTTGTATAAATTCATGGTTGGTTTACTTAATCTGAATTTCAAGTTATACTTTCTGAATTACAATTAACTATTCTGAATTACAACTTGTACTTTCTAAATAACATCTTATACTTTCTGAATCACAATTGAAAAAGGTGTATAGTGTGAATACTCAAAGCTACAACTCACCTCCTCTCTGTTCTTGTATCCTTCTAACACCTCTTCGCCCTTGAGCTTGGTTAACACGACTGATCATCTCCTGCATCGTTGGACTGGGAGTTGGTGGTCGTTTGGGCGACTCCTGTATACCTGCGCTGCGGAAAATCTCCTCGGCTCTGATCGGCCTATCTGGCGTTCTGAAATCGGCTCCAGGTGAAGGTGTGAACGGTGGACTAAGTGGAGAGCGTTCCAAGAACGAATCCGGCATGTATCCACGCGGTGATCCACAAGTAGCCATCGTTATACCGTGAGAAGGACCGGGACTCTCAGTACGATTCATGCTCTCTTCCAAGAACGAATCCGGCATATATCCACGCGGTGATCCACAAGTAGCCATGGTTATCCCGTGAGAAGGACCGGGACTCTCAGTACGATTCATGCTCTCTTCAAAGAACGAATCTGGCATATATCCACGCGGTGACCCACAAGTGGCCATGGTTATTCCATGAGATGGTCCAGGTGTTCCAGGACCAGGCGAAGCTTGTTCAGGTGAGGCTGCCATATCTTCCAGCTCATTTTGATCGAGGAAATACCCTTCATCTACCTGTGGCATTGCCAGATCGTAATCAGGTTCCCAAGAGGGTGATGGTTGTTTCAATGGAGATATCGGTCTCTGAGGACTCAAGGGTGGCAAGTTTTGTCGTGACATTACTTCCTGGACATATCGCTCGTTGTCTAAGAAGACATCTTGTTGAGGCGAATCGAACCTCTCTTGTGGCAGCTCCCTTGTTTCCTGTGGCATAGCTGGTATCATTTGCGTTGGACCTTCTCTTGTTCGCCTTGGTGGTACGAAGTTCAAAACTTTTGGTAAACCATAAGGATCTTGAGGTGATCTTGGCTGAGGTCGTTGTGCTAGTGGTAATGGTCGTGGTCGTGGTGTTGTGGGAACCCTGACGGGGGGTGGAGGTGTTCCGTCCTCCCAGATTCGTGGCATTACCGAACGTCTTCTTGGCATCTTTGGTCTTGGTTCTGGGTCATCCAAAAAGTCCTCCTGCTCTACCCATCTTTGTTGTAACTGTTGACGTACGCCGGATCTAGGACGAGTATGCTGTGGGGGTGGTCGCTGTTGACCTGAAAATTACATAATTGAGTCGTATCAGTACAAGCACAAATGATCAAACACTATTGGAAATCATAATGTCAAACTACACTCACCGGCGAAATGATCCGGCAAAAAAAATGTTGAATTTATCGTCCTGTAACTTCTTCAGTTGTACGATTTTGGCAAAATTTCGACTAAATCGTAGATTCATAATTCGGAATATCAGCCTGAATTTTAGTTTTCATGAAGAGCTGATGATGGCTTGATCATTACGTGTCCCAGAACAACGTACCATACATTTTAAATGGTGAACTAGAGAACAGAATAACTTTTCCTCCAAGCGGCAGGAAAAGTATTTTTTTATCGCTTGGAGCGCACGAAAGGGAATCCCTATAATGTTCAAAGAACATCGTGCGTTCCTATATAGGGAGGATAGGGATAGGAGGTAGGTATTGGAATTTTTTTCGAACTTCTGGAGATTATATGTTGTTGGGAATACTTCCTCAGGCAATGAATTCCAGAGCCTAGCTGTTCTATGGATGAAGGAGTTTTGATAAAGTATAGTACGTAATGCGTATTGTTAAGCAATTATGCACTTATGGGATTACCTATTCCCTGTCTATTATTTTCCAATTTCATTGAAAAGTAGTCCATGTTCATTCACATTTGCGCGTTACTGACAAAAATGGTATCAATCAAGATTGACAAACCTGACTCACAATAGCCTATTCGTATTGGCCGAGGTATTCATCTGACATTGCGATGGCATAAAAACTACGGGAAAACGTCTAACTTTCAATTTAAGCCGGGAGTTAGGAATGTTTTTCCGTAGTTTTCATGACATCGCAACGTCAGATGAACAAAACTATACCAATTCGATCGTTATTCAGGGAGTTAGGTATTTCGCATTCTTTTGATAAAAATTAATGTAACTTCTTTGGCATACTAACCACAATTTGATAATTCGAAGAATGAAGAAGGACTTGTTTAACAAAAATCAGATGATTTTTCATTGATACGCAAGAAAGTCTCACAAAATCGAACATCAATTTTTTCAAATGGAATACCCCATATATTTTAACATATCTGAATTCTCATCCCTCTAGGCTAATTATCAGTTCTTCATTTTTGAAAATCCGACAAGGCGTTGCCAAGTTATACTAGTGTTTCATGAAATGCAGACATTTTTTTAGACAAACCCATCATTCATACTACTAAGAATTCATGGAATCATTCAAGACTGTTGGTAGTCGGTAGCATATTCTATCATATGTACGAAGGCGCTGAAGGGCCACCTATACTTTTTTTTTTCGAATCCCGACTTTAAAGTCGGGGGTCCGACTTTAAAGTCGGGGGTCCGACATTAAAGTCGGGGGTCCGACTTTAAAGTCGGGGGTCCGAGATTAAAGTCGGGGGTCCGACTTTAAAGTCGGGGGTCCGAGATTAAAGTCGGGGGTCCGACTTTAAAGTCGGGGGTCCGAGATTAAAGTCGGGGGTCCGACTTTGAAGTCGGGGGTCCGACATTAAAGTCGGGGGTCCGACTTTAAAGTCGGGGGTCCGAGATTAAAGTCGGGGGTCCGACTTTAAAGTCGGGGGTCCGAGATTAAAGTCGGGGGTCCGACTTTAAAGTCGGGGGTCCGAGATTAAAGTCGGGGGTCCGACTTTAAAGTCGGGGGTCCGAGATTAAAGTCGGGGGTCCGACTTTAAAGTCGGAGGTCCGAGATTAAAGTCGGGAGTCCGAAACTGAAGTTAGGAGCTAGATTATATTCTTTAAATATGTGGACAGAAATGAATATTTTCCATTGTTACTCATCAGTTTGATGTCAGCAACATGCTCCTGAATTTTCTACATGTACTCGAGAAACACCCTGTACGTTTATGTACAAACAATAATTTTACATCCATTGGATAATCATCACATAAGGATCAGTCAAAATCCTCCCTTTTGGATGTACACTGAATGTCAAATAATGGATCACACCTGTACGATCATTATCGTACGTATAGGGTGATTTTATATATTCCACTTCATAGCTGAGAATCTCATTTGTTTGTTTAAAGGGTGCAAAAAGATTACAATACAAAACATATATTTTCACAAATGAACTACCCTGAATGTCATTCCGTCCTTGGGTAGAGCTCAGAAAGATGAGTTTAATGATATATGATTACATTTGTAGGTATGAGATCACCCCTTCCGGACTATTTTCATTATGAATTAACTGATTATACAGGGTGGTCCACGGTGGATAGCCTATTAGAAGTATCTGGAGAACGAAAAAACAGAACATTCTGAAAATTGGGATACTTTGATAATTGAACATTCTCTATCCCACTAGAATATTTTCATCGAAACAGTGTTGCCACTTCTATAAGAAACAACTAGCAACTTCGCTATTTTGAATGGAGCACCCTGTATTCTATTGCATTATTAGATTCTTCCTGAAGAGCTGATTTCATCAATCTTGGGATCTAGCAGGAATGATTACAGAGATATATGATGTTCAAAATCGAGATTTTTTAATTTCAGGATTTTTTTGTGTCGAAACTATTCATTATCGATCGAAACGACTAACATGTCCCTATCTTAACTTTTGATTCACTAAATACTGAAATTTAATTGGAACAAATACAGGGTGCTTCAAGATTCAGAATTCTGATCACCCTGTATCTGTTCCAATTAAATGTCAGTAGATAGTGAATCAAAAGTTAAGATAGGGACATGTGAGCCGTTTTGATCGATAATGAATAGTTTCGACACAAAAAAATCCTGAAATTCAAAATTCTAAATTTTGAACACCCTATATCTCTGTAATAATTCCTGCTAGACCACAAGTTGATGCATCGATGAAATCAGCTCTTCATGAAGGATCTAAAAATGCAATAAAATACAAGGTGCTCTATTCAGAATAGCGAAGTTGCTAGTTGTTTCTGATAGAAGTGGCAACACTGTATTGATGAAAATATCTTAGACGGATAGAAAATGTTCAATTATCGAAGAATCCCAATTTTCAGAATGTTCTGTCTTTTCGATCTCCAGATACTTCTAATAGGCCATCCACTGTGGATCACCCTGTATATGTTATATTGATATCTTGTAAATATTGAGGATATTCGAATCAAACAAAAGTGATGACGTATTTTGCAAACCGATCATCTTCTCGGAATTTTCGAATGTATTCAATTTCATTCTTGGATAGAGCTAAGAAAGACGAATTCAATGATATATGATATCATAGAATGGGTCTGAGAACACACGTTTCGGACTTATCCATGAAGTCCGAGATTAAAGTCGGACCCCCGACTTTAATCTCGGACCCCCGACTTTAAAGTCGGACCCCCGACTTTAATCTCGGACCCCCGACTTTAATCTCGGACCCCCGACTTTGAAGTCGGACCCCCGACTTTAAAGTCGGACCCCCGACTTTAATCTCGGACCCCCGACTTTAATCTCGGACCCCCGACTTTAAAGTCGGACCCCCGACTTTAATCTCGGACCCCCGACTTTAAAGTCGGACCCCCGACTTTAATCTCGGACCCCCGACTTTAATCTCGGACCCCCGACTTTAAAGTCGGACCCCCGACTTTAATCTCGGACCCCCGACTTTAAACTCGGACCCCCGACTTTAATCTCGGACCCCCGACTTTAATCTCGGACCCCCGACTTTAAAGTCGGACCCCCGACTTTAATCTCGGACCCCCGACTTTAAAGTCGGACCCCCGACTTTAATCTCGGACCCCCGACTTTAATCTCGGACCCCTGACTTTAAAGTCGGACCCCCGACTTTAATCTCGGACCCCCGACTTTAATCTCGGACCCCCGACTTTAAAGTCGGGATTCGAAAAAAAAAAGTATAGGTGGCCCTTCAGCGCCTTCGTACATATGAAATACTCATCTTCTTCGAAAGTTATACAGGGTGGTCAGAAATATTATATGATTTTCACGAAATTCATACTTTCTTCACATCAATTTTTCAAATAGTGCACCCTACAATTTGTATAATTTTATATCATGTAATGAAAAATTTTGAAATGTGCCTTGCAGCACCTATCCCCTATCCCTATCCTCCCTACCGAATTTCTCCCTATCATTGAATTCATTTAAAAATAAATTTAAGAAAAAATTCCTTTCACAGCAGTGATACGAAACGAAGAAAAAAATGAATCAATAATAGTTGATTTATAATATATTATTATGATAGAGTTCATCTTTTGAAAATTATATCGCCTCGATATACATTTACTTGAAAGACATAACTTATATTATTAGTATTTTTGTTTTGTTTTTGTTTCTAGGGGAGTGTGGAAGAATCGGTCCACTGACCTATCACTTCACCTTTTGTTTGCCACCTATACCTATTTTTTGTACTAACATAATTGTTCAAACATGCAATTTGTTATTGTGTTCATTGGCAGACAATAAACGATTATTATATTATTATTATATTATATTATATTAAACATTATTGTGTCTAATTATTCGCCAAGTCAGTTTTTTCTTTTTGGGACTGTTTTTTTAGTAGTTAAGTACAGTTGAATAAATAGTTCACTGCATTTTTTTTTATTTGCATTTGTTGATGATGAAATTTACATCTCTCTTTCATATCTATTGACCATGAGCAATCAAACCACCAATGGGATATAAAATCATACATATTGTAGGGTGCACTATTTGAAAAATTGATGAGAAGAAAGTTTGAATTTCGTGAAAATCATATGATATTTCTGACCACCCTGTATAACTTTCGAAGAAGATGAGAATTTCATATGATAGAATATGCCACCGACTACCAACAGTCTTGAATGATTCCATGAATTCTTAGTAGTATGAATAATGGGTTTGTCTAGGTATAAAAAAAATTTCTGCATTTTTGGTTGATAAGAGTAGAGAACGTATGCGACACGTATTAGTTGTAGCTCTGATAGCTTTCACGAATTTATCAGGAAACTGGCCGAAATTTATATAAATCTGTGCGTAGTAATGTGGTACTTATAGAGGACTTGCAACTGATGCATCAGACACTAAGTA